AGCTCCAGGTTGAGCTGTTGTTCAGCATCTTAGCTGTGGAGGGCAGTGTCACTGGTCCTCATATGTGGGATCCGAACTGGGGCCCTCTGGTGTCCCAAGCCAGCTCTTAACCAACGCACCACTTGGCCAGCCCTAGACTAGTCTTTATAAGGACTGAAGCCCAGATTTTTAATCCTCACAATTCTGGGTTAGATTAAGATGAGCTGGGATTCCCACTGTCCCTAGCCTATCTGCCTGCCAGAAGCAAAAGTAAATCCTTTGTGAAGAGCATCATTCGTGCCGTCAGCTTGTCTTTAATAGTTATAAACCGCATTCAATAAAAAATATCTAGACATGAAAAGACAAAATGCAACTGAAAGTCAAGAGGGAAAGCTGACATTAGAAACATACCCATGGAGATACAGATATTTGAGTTATCAGTCGTACACTTAAGGTACATTTATGATAAATGTATTAGAAGAATTAAAGACAAAATTGATAATTTTGACAGGAATTTGAAATGACAAAGAATGAAATAGAAATTCTAGAACTGCAAAATACATAAAAACTGATTAACAACACAGTGGAAGGGTTTAACAGCTCAGATACAGCCGAAGGAAAGAACTAGTGAAGTAAAAGATAAATCAGAAAAAAAAACAAACAAAAAAAATCCAGACCGAAGCGTTGAGAGACAAAAGGATGGAGAATACAGAAAACAGGGTAGGAGACATATGGAAGATGGTGAAAAGTTCTTATATATAAGTAACTGGGAAGAAAAAAAAAAGTAACTGAAGTCCCAGAAGGAGAGGAGAAAGAATAGGATTAAAGCAATATTTGATAAGAAATTGACTGATACTTTCCTCCAAACTGATGAAACATCAAGTTGTAAATTAAAGAAGCTGTATAAACACCAGGAAAAATACAAATAAAATACATCTAGACACATCATAGTAAAACTGTTGCAAACCTGAGCCAAGAAAATTTGAAAAGCAACTAGAGAATAAAATAAATTTTACCTTCAAAGGAGCAATGAGACTGACATGACCGCCTGCTTTCAACAGTAACAGTGGCATCCAGAAGGCATGAAATAGTAGCCATAAAATGGTGACAGAAAATAACTCGATCCTTATCCAGTGAAAATAGCCTTTTAAAGTGGATACAAAATAAAGATGCTTTCAGGACAAACAAAAACAGACGATGTGTAGCCAGGCAGACCTACCCTGAAGGAAATACTAAAGGATAGTTTTTAGGCTGAAAGAAAATGATTTCCAAATAGGATGAAAAAAATTGGAAAGGCCAGTTATGTGGGTAAACACGAATGGATATTGGCTATATAAAATAATAATAGTAATAGTAATAATGACTTGTGAACTTTATAAGCTATATGGAATTATGGAATTAAAGTGCATGATAGTAATAGCACATAGAAATGGAGTTAGTGTTCCAAGTTCCTTGCATTATCTGGAAAGCGCTGAAAGTACTAATTTATATAAGACTTCATGAGTTAGAGTGCATGCATGTTATAATCACTAAGGTGATAATCACTAAAAGAATAGTAAAAGACTATATATTTTACAAGCTAATTGGGAAAATAAACAACGCTTAATCCAAAAGAGGGCAAGAAAAAGGAAATAAAGGAATGTGGAACAGGAGAGAGACATAGAAAACAAATAGTAAATTATTTTATTTATTATAGAATCAGTACGAGGTGAACCATGAAATTGCCAACATTTGAGCTACAACAATAGTAATTTAATAATTTAAGTGTAAATAGATCAAATATGTTGAAACCAAAGATTGTCAGAATGGGTTAAAAGGAAACCAACTATATTCTGCATACGTAGAGTCACACATTAAATGTAAGAATAGAGAAAGTTTGAAAGTAGAAGAATATAAAAAAGATATACCATGCAAATACCAACCTAAGAAATCTGGCTAGCTATATAAGATAAAGTGAACTTTAAGGCAAGTAGTGTTACTAGAGATAAAGAAGGATATTTCATTGATGAAAAGTTCAGTTTATCAAACAGAAAATATAAAGGATGTTCAGAAATATACAGTATTATAATTGCATTGATTTTTTTTTAAATTGGGGAGTTGGGAGAGGGGAACAGTGTTGGGGAATTGGGGAAGGGGACCAGCCAAGTTCTTTAATCTTAGTTGTGGAGGGTGCCAGTCGCTATCTGGCTGCCCATCGGCAGGTTGTGGCCTCTAAGCTCAAGGTGCTGTGTTCAGTCTTAGTTGCAGGTGGGCGTAGCCACCATCTCATGTGGGAGTCAGACCAGCAGCATTGTTAAGAGCGCATGCTCTATCTACTGAGCCATCTGGGTGGCAGTTCAGCTCAAGGTGCCAAATACAGTCTTAGTTGCTGGTGGGCATAGCCACCATCCCATGTGGGAGTCGAACTGGCAGCCTTGTTGTTAAGAGTGCATGCTCTATCCACAGCCATCCGGATGGCAGCTCAGCTCAAGGTGCCAAGTTCAGTCTTAGTTGCGGGCTGGAGTAGCCTACCATCAAACAGGCAGTCTTGTTGTTAGAAACATGAGCTCTCACCAGCTGAGCCATCCTGCCACCTGTTGACAGCTCACTGGCAGCTCAGCTCAGCGTCACTGTCCCATGTGGGAATTAAACCGTCGGCCCTGTTGCTCAGAGCTCACGCTCTTAAGCTAATTCGTTTTTGGTTTTTTTTTTTAAAGATTTTATTGGGGAATTGAAGGGGAACAGCACTGGGGAATCAGGGGAAGGGGAACAGACAAGTTGCTGTCCTTTTGTTCTTCAGTCTAGTTGTGGAGGACGTCGCTTCACTGGCCCATGTTGGTATTATCATCGCGCTCTTCTCGGGTGAGGCAGATCGGCCGCCGGTGGCAGCGGCTCTTGGCAGCTCACACCGGCTGCTGGCTGCTCACACTGGCTGCTGGCCACACACGGTAGCTTATGGCAGCCCACTGCAGCAGGGGCTGCAGCCTACGCCATCGCTGTCGACTCATGGCAGCCCAGCTCCAGGTCAAGCTGTTGTTCACCATCTTAGCTGTAGAGGGCGCAGTGTCACTGACCCTCATGTGGGATCCAAACCACGGCCCTGCTGCTCAGATCTGGCATCCCAAGCCATCTCTTAACCAATGCGCTGCTCGGCCAGCCCTTAAGCTAACTCTTAACCAACTGAGCCACGCGGCTGGCCCCTGGATTGATATTTTTTAAACGAATAGATAAAATGTAGTTCAACAGCCCTTATGAGTTGTAATAACTTTAAAATATTAGTGTTGTCAAAATAATGAGTCTTTGCATTTATAATTCGTTCCTTTCATGTCTTTTTTTTTTTTTTTTTAGATTTTATTGGGGGAGGGGAACAGAAGTTCTTACTTTGAAAACCATAGAACTTAATATTTTCTTTAAGGTAAATGCTTTTTTATGGTTCTGTTCAAGATAAAATTTTTTCAAGATAAAATTATGAAATCATGAAAGATAAGTTTCTTATATTATTTCCTAAAGCTTCATAGATTTCCCTTCAACATTTAGGTCTGTAACCCATCTAGGGGGAGGTGTGTGTGTGTGTGTGTGTGTGTGTGTGTTATAGTGTAAGGTGAGGGTTTAGTTTGATTTACTTTTTTCCCTAGATGTATCCCTAATTGTTCCACTATTTTTGGAAAAGACCACTCTGATGATGAGTCAAGTGTCTGTATACGTGTAGGTCTGTTTTTAGATTTTTCTATTCTAATTTTTCCTTTCCAAGCACAGAAAAATCCCTGTAAATGGAAGATACAAAGTAAGATGGTAGGAATAAATAGAAAGTATCATTCATCATAACACATACAAATGGACTAAACTCACCAGTTAAAAAACAGATTGTTTTATTGGATTTAAAAAACTTAGTTGTGTGTTCTTTAAAAGAGATTCACTTAAAATATAAGAACTCAGAAAAGTTGAAAGTAAAAGGTGGTAAAGAGAATTACCAGGCAAATTCTGAGAGTCTTGCATTTATATGAGAAGGAAAGGTGTCTCAATTCAGCTCCGTGCTTTCCTGGGTCCAAGCCTCTGCTCCTGTCCCCTAGTGGTTGTTAAAACTCCAGGTCTCTACATCACCAAGATTTACCTCCCACAGCGGCCATATTCTTTGTTTCTGCCCGTAGGAATTTTCTTTATTCTATTGTGGGGTAAGCCATGCATTTAAAAGGAATTTGCCATATTTCTTCTAGCAATTTTTTGATATTTGTGTGGATCTCTTCCCCTTACTCCCCCAGTTGTTTAATCTATCATGTGTTGTCTGAATCATTAGTCTCCCATGTGGCTTGAAGAACCCACCTTTCTGGGGAGACAACTAAAAGTGTAAAATGATTGCCCCTGGGCAGAGTGGTTATGGATCATTTCTTATATACTTATCCATTTTTCATAGTTCTGCAAGAGCACATATTTTATAACTTTTTAAACTTAAAAAAGGAAACTGTCCTTAAGATACTCCAAGTAATAGCCCTTCTTTTCCATTTGTTGCAGGTGGTGCGGTTGTGTCAGAACCCAAAGCTGGCGCTAAAGAATAGCCCACCTTATATCTTAGACCTGCTGCCAGATACCTACCAGCATCTCCGCACTATCCTGTCAAGATATGAGGGGAAGATGGAGACACTTGGAGAAAATGAGTATTTTAGGGTGTTCATGGAGAATTTGATGAAGAAAACTAAGCAGACCATAAGCCTCTTCAAGGAGGGGAAAGAAAGAATGTATGAGGAAAATTCTCAGCCTAGGTAATGGAGAATACTACACAAATATGCACTCAAGGTTGTGACTGCCCAAATGGGTAACACATAAAAGTAGTTGAGTTGGTTTTAATTTTAAACAATGAAGTTGATATTTGATTTAAAAGCATGCTTTATATAAAAGGTTGCTTTGGAGGATATTGAACCATTCCTAGCTTTTGATAGATTTGATTACCTCTGAAAAGTCAGTGACTTATAGTCATGAAGATGAATTGGAGGCAGTAAGTCCTTTAGAAACCCTGAAGATCATGAAAATTTGTGGATAGGTGAGAGTTTGAAAGAAACAGGTTGGGGTTAAGCTGAGGTTGGTAGTAAATAATAAGAGGTCAGATTTTGCCAGGGCTGTAGCGTATTAGGGAAGTTGTAAGTATGGGATAATAGGGAAAAAATTAAGCCAATAATTTAGATAACTTTTTTTTTTAATAAAGCAAAGTGAAATGACATTTACTTTATAGGTAAAGGATAGTGGCAAATGCAGTTAATTCAATAAATATTTGAGGGACTATTTTATACTTATTAAATACTAAAAACTACAAGTATATTGGTCATCCTATATGTTACTAGCTTGGTTGTTAGAAATTACTGGGAGAGAAATAGGTTGATTGTATATATGGTATAACTGTGTTTGGTTTTGTCCAATTGGAAATATTAACTCCTCTAGAAACAAGTAAAAAGTGGAAATTCCACTAGAACATTTTAGGGAATAAATTACTCTGAAGGAGTGACTTGAATTACAGAGAACAGTAATTTTTGAGAGCATGAAGTTGGCATGCGTTACTCGAGCAGTAACTTACTAAATGATATCCTTGTAGCCTACATTTGACTCTGTTGGTTTAGATTCTGGGAACCCTCGTTTCACTTAAAATTTTACCCACATCATCATTATTATTATTATTAATTAATTAATTTTTAGAAGAAATTTTATTGGGGAACAGTGTGTTTTTCCGGGACCCATCAGCTCCAAGTCAAGTAGTTATCTTCAATCTAGTTGTGGAGGGCGCAGTTCCTTGGCCTATGTGGGAATCGAACCGGTAACCTTGGTGTTATGAGCCTGGCTGTGCTCTAACCACCTGAGCTAACCAGCCATCCGGACTCCAAGCCTAGTGGTTGTTTCAGTCTAGTTGTGGAGGGCGCAGCTCCGCGGCCCATGTGGGAATCGAACCGGCAACCTTGGTGTTATGAGCCTGCATTTTATCCACCTGAGCTAACTGGCCGCCCCTACCCACATCATTATTCATATTACTTTTACTACCACAGATTACTCAAGTTTGATCCAGGGTATCAGTCTTCTTAAAAGGATTTCTGGTGACTGAATTCAATGTGTAGAAACCTTTATAACTCCTAGTTTATATGAAAATGAACTTTATTCCTTTTAATTTCAATTTCATGACTTTTGTTAAAACTTTGTATGGACCTTAGCTAACTAGTTATTTTGTATTGCTGAGTTTAAAAAAAAATAATTTTACTTTATCAGATACCAGAACTTTAAATACTTATTTGCCATCTACAGTGAACTAGGTTCTGTCTAATTTTAAGAGGTGAAAAGGATACTTCAGCATTCAATTATGATGTAATGTGATAAATGCTTTAATAGAGATAATGTACAAAATGCTGTGTGAACAGTTTTGCCTACTGACATCAGGGAGGGTGGCACAGAGGAAGTGTCATTTGAGCTAGATTTGAAGGCTAAGGAGGAATTTCTAGGCAAGGAGTGAAGAAAAGGCCTTTAACACTGGCATGAAAATGCAGGCTCTGCATGTTTAAGAAACATGAGCAGTCTGGTATGGCTAGAATTGGGGGAGATAGATAAGCTGGAAATATAGGTTGGAGTTAGATTATAAAGAGCTGTTCTTTGACCTCTAGACTTTCTCCTTTAGATAAATGGCTGCTATAGAACAATTTTTTTCTAAAAGAGCATTTTTATAGTGAAATAAAAATTATAGATCTGGTCTTAGAGCATATTGAACATTGTTTAACATTTTATTTCATGATTCATAATGCATCACTTAGAGGCAGTGTAGTGTACTGGTTAAGAGGATGCACTACTGCCTGAGTCCGAATCTTTTAACTTTTCCACTTAGTTAGCTATGTGATCGATCCCTCAGTTTCCTCATATGGAAAATAAGATAATAATAGTATTTGTAGGATTTTTGGGAGTTATTAAATGAGTGACTAAATGTTTTGTACTTAGAACAATGATTAGTACTTTGAAAGTGACAAGTGGGTTATCTCTTATTATCTTCATCATCCTCATCATCTTCATGACTCTAAACATAGATTATCTTATCAGGCTGTGTATCAGTGATACTGCCAGGAGCTAATGAAATATATACACCAATTTGCCCTTCCTAAATGTCTTCGTACTATGCTTGAAAGTTATTTTGCCTGTCTTAAAGCCTTACTGTCAGTATGCCTGTCTGTATCAGTTTTATTCCCCCTAATAAGAAGCTTAAGCTTTTAATCCACTATGGGCTTTGAATTCATATAACCAGGTTTGTACAAACTATATGTAAAGGGAGAATAAATAAATTTCAGGTGAGAATCAGATTTTTTAATAAAGGAGAATATATAGCTTTATTATATGATCTTTATGATCTGTATGCTGGAAAAACACACTGGTCCCCAATAAAATCCTTAATAAAAAAATGGTTAAAATGGTTTACAAAAAAGATGTTCTATGAAAAAAAGAGACTACTGCAACTAACAATTTAAACACTGCACAGTGCTTTTTCTGAGGACAACCATCATTATTACAACAGAAGTGCTTTTATGTGTACTTCTCATTTTGTCACACAGAATATTTAAAAACCCTGAACAGTCAAGATTTAATAAAATTAGTGATCTTTCCTGCTTCATCAAGGACATCCTTAAGTGCAACTAGCATTTTGCTTTTATTGCAAGTTGTGGTGAAGAATACAGTGATTACATGTACAGTTTAGTGCTACTGTCTTGATTTGTGTTGGGGCACTAGCAGTCTCACCCACCATTGCTTTATGCAATCAGTATAAATATCAAGTGAGGAAAGACAAATCATGTGGTCTCTTAGTATTACTGTGGAAATAATTTTAACATTGCAGACCCCCTGAAAGGGTCACACTAAAATTGTGATACTGAATATATACTGATAATAAAAGATGAATACAAGTCACATTTGACTTCTGCAATTACAAGAGGTGCTCAGTGGTTACCATCAGCTTCTAGACACTTTTTTTTCCTTTTTTCTTTAATTGGGGAACAGTGTGTTTTTCCAGGTCCCATCAGCTCCAAGTCAAATAGTTGTTGCAATCTAGTTGTGGAGGGCACAGCTTAGTGGCCCATGTGGGGATTGAACCGGCAATCTTGGTGGTGTGAGCACTGCGCTCTAACCAACTGAGCTAACTGGCCGGCCCAAGACACTTTTGATTATGGCAAACATTGTTTGGGAGACTTCTGTGGCAAGCGTGTAAACTGTTCCAACACCATAGTAGAAGAAGCAGGACTTGTTGCTGTGCGAGGCCTCCTGTAGCTTCTCTTCTGCACGTCACACACAATACCGTGAGTCTCAAACTTATCACAAATGCATGCAAGTAAGTGTTAGGCATGTTGGAGGTTCTGTTGCATACTCACACCTCCATTGTTGTACTTCCTCAATGTTCTCGAATTTTAAATACCACTTCAAAATGGTCTTGTGCTCCTCCAACCATGCTTCCACTGTTTTCTTTGACTCTCTTGCCTGTCACATGGTACACTAGCTCAATTAATTCCATCTTTTGAGCAAACGTCATACTACACATTGCTACTGTAATTCAAATCAACTTTAAAAAGTAATACATATGGGCCAGCTGAGTGGCACATTGGTTAAGAGTTGGCTTGGGACGACAGCGCTGAGCAGCAGGGCCCTGATTCGGAACCCATATGAGGGCCAGAGATGCTGCACCTTCTACAGCTAAGATGGTGAACAACACATTGACCTGGATCTGGGCTGCTGTGAGTTGTTGGCAACGGCGTAGGCTGCTGTGGAGCTGCAGTTGGCTGCCATAAACTACCATGAGTGGCTGGCAGCCAGCGTGAGCTGCCAAGAGCCGTCGTGAGCGACTGTCCAGTGGCTAGTAACCGATCTGCCTCAGCCGGGAAGAGCGCAATGATAAATACCAACATAGGCCAGTGAAGTGATGTCCTCCACAACTAGATTGAAGAACAAACGGACAGCAACTTGTCTGTTCCCCTCTCCAAATTCCCCAATTTAAAAAAATCGTTAAAAAAAAAGAGTAATACATAGATAACATCTCTTAAAATGTGTATACATTTCTTTTTTGGACACCCCTGGTACATACAGACATACACTCACTAAAAAATTATGGCAAGGAGAAAAGTGTTAAATGAAATATCCACTCAATTAGATGCTTAAAAATGGTTAAAACAGTAAATTTTGTGTCATATATATTTAACTACAATTTATTTTGTTTTCAATTAATTTATTTTAGAAAAACAAAGGTTTACTTTACCATAATTTTTAATAAAGAAACATTATAACTCACAGGCTGTTGATATTTTCTCTATGCAAGTATTCATTCAGCAATGTTTTTTTGTTTTAAATATTTTGGAGAATTGGGGAAGGGAACAGTGTTGGGGGATTGGGGAAGGGAACATTGTGCTTTTCCAGGACCCATCAGCTCCCAGTCAAGTTGTTGTCCTTCAATCTTAGTTGTGGAGGGTGCAGCTCAGCTCCAAGTCCAGTCGCCGTTTTCAATCTAGTTGCGGGTGGCACGGCCCACCATCCCATGCGGGAGTTGAACCGGCAACCTTGTTGTTAAGCACATTCACTCTCACCAGCTGAGCCTTTTGGCCGCCTGTTGGCAGCTCAGTGGCATCTTAGCTCGGGCGCACCTTACCTGCCCATGTGGGAATAGAACCAGCTACACTGTTGCTCAGAGCTCACGCTGTAACCAACTGTGCCACCCAGCCGGCTGTCAGCAAGTATTTTTGAGAACTTGCTCTTAGTAGACTCC